GGAGCCCAGCAATGGGGCTGGGGGCTGTGAGGGGCGGAGGGGAGCTCCGGAATGGGGCTGGGGGCTGTGAGGGGCGGAGGGGAGCCCCGGAGTGGGGCTGGGGGCACTGGGGAGTCCCGGAATGGGGGACCCCAAAGCTGGACTTTGTGCTCTGGGGTGGGGAAGGGTCCGCAGCCCTGGATCTGCTGGGGGTCCAGGCGGGTGCGGAGGGGCTGTCAGGGGACCCGGGGGGATGCGGGGGGCTGCAGCAGCCCCTGGCAGCGCTGGGGGAGCCGGGGGTCGCTGCGTGCCCTGGCGCTGGGGCAGGGAGCAGCAGGAAGGGCACACGGCCGGAGCTGGAGTTGGAGGAACTGAGGGCTGGGGGCAGCGGGGCTCGCCTGCACCTGCACCTTCCCTGGCACGGTGGGATCCCGGCCGGGGGAGGGCAGGGAGAGCCTGCCTCAGGTGTGAGCACACACACACTGTTAGTGTGAACACACACACTGCCGGTGCCTGGCTCAGGTGTGAGCACACACACACACACCGCTGGTGCCTGGCTCAGGTGTGAGCACACACTCCTGGCTCAGGTGTGACCGCTGGTACCTGGCTCAGGTGTGAGCACACACTCCTGGCTCAGGTGTGAGCACACACTCCTGGCTCAGGTGTGAGCACACACACACCGCTGGTGTCTGGCTCAGGTGTGAGCACACACTCCTGGCTCAGGTGTGAGCACACACTCCTGGCTCAGGTGTGAGCACACACACACCGCTGGTGCCTGGCTCAGGTGTGAGCACACACTCCTGGCTCAGGTGTGAGCACACACTCCTGGCTCAGGTGTGAGCACACACTCCTGGCTCAGGTGTGAGCACACGGTGCTGTTCCTGCTCCGTCTCCCCGTCCTGCCCCTTTCTTTGCTGCTGTTCCCTCCCCGCTCGCCGTCCCCTCCGAGGTGTCCCCAGTGTCCCTGTCCTGCTCCCTCTGAGCATTATCCGTGTGGAAGTGGCACGGAGTGCAGGAATTCCCGTTTATCCCGAGGGGTGCTCCAGCTGGGAGCAGAATGCTTCCCAGGGAGCTGTCCCTACAACAGCTCTGGGGAGGGTCCCAGCTGGGCTGGGGGGTTCTGTGGTGGGGGTCTCTCAGCAGAGCCCGGGAGCAGCTGCAGTGTCCAGGGTGGGCAGAGGGGCTCAGAGCAGCAGGGTCCTTGGGGCAGGGCAGGGGCACATCCCTGCTGCCTGAGGGGGGATCGGGGGGATCCCCATCCCTGCTGCCTGAGGGGGGATCAGGGGGATCCCCATCCCCTGCTCCCTGAGGGGGGATCGGGGGGTCCCCATCCCTGCTCCCTGCTCGTTTCAGCTCCTGACTCAGCCCCGCTCCGGTCCGTCCCCAGAGGGCTCAGGGCACTGCTCAGGGAAGGGTTTTGGTCCTGCTGCTCTGGGTTGCTTGGGGTTTCAGTGGGCAGGCGCTCTCCCACAGGCCTGCCTGCTTTGGGAACCCAAAACCTTTTCCTGTGGAAGAGTTTCTGGTTTTGGGTGCCCTGGTGCTCTGAGCTGTGGGACACTGGGCACTTCCCCGGTGGGTTGTGTCCACCAGGAATTTCAGCCTTTTCCCGGGATTCATCCGTGTTTTCCTGCATCCCTGGGCTGTGCAGCAGAGCCCTGGGATCTCTCGGAGCAGGAGAAGGCTGCACACAAACTTTGGGAATGCCAAACCTCCTCTGCGATTCCTCTTTCGCTCTGCCCGGGGCTCGTCTCTGACGTGCCTTTCTGTTTTATTTCTGCTTTCTGGAGGTTCCTTATTCCCCAGGGCTCTCCCCGTTTCCCAGCAGCTCCCTGTGGTGTGCTGGGCTTCAGCTGAGGTGCCAGGTGCTCCCAGAGGCGCTGAGCCCACCCGGGCAGGTGCAGGAGTTCCTGCTCGGGGCAGGCCTGGCGCTGCCGTGGGATCCCACGGCAAAGCCAAAGATGTGGCTAAAACACAACTCCAGCTCCTGATTTGTGTCTTTATTCCCATTTCTTCTGAAATCCCCCTGAGCCGGGCCGGAGGGTGGATCCCAGGGGGATTTGGGATGGGAATCCCCCTGGCATTGGGAAATGGGGAACTTGCAGAGAGGAAGCACCAGCAGGGGTGGGGGATGGCCAGAGCGATGGGGTGGGGTCCAGCTGAGCTTGGTGCCCCTCCTGAGCAGGGCAATGTCCTGGGAGAGCAGCCCTGGGAGCTGCTGGCAGCATCCCAGGAAGGGCTGGAAGGGCTGGGGCTGGATGGGCTGGGGCTGGATGGGCTGGGGCTGCTCGGGCTGGGGCTGGAAGGGCTGAAAGGGCTGGAAGGGCTGGAAAGGCTGGAAGGGCTGGGGCTGGAAGGGCTGGGGCTGGATGGGCTGGGGCTGCTCGGGCTGGGGCTGGAAGGGCTGAAAGGGCTGGAAGGGCTGGAAAGGCTGAAAAGTCTGGGGCTGCTTGGGCTGCTCAGGCTGGGGCTGCTCGGGCTGGAAGGGCTGGGGCTGCTCAGGCTGGGGCTGCTCAGGCTGGGGCTGCTCGGGCTGGATGAGCTGGGGGCTGGATGGGCTGGGGGCTGCTCGGGCTGGGGCTGCTCGGGCTGGGGCTGCTGGGGCTGGATGAGCTGGGGACTGGATGGGCTGGGGGCTGCTCGGGCTGGGGGCTGCTCGGGCTGCTCGGGCTCCCCGGCCAGGCCCCGTGCCCACGGCGTGCTTCTGTGTGTCAGGGAAGGAGCTCTGCCTTGCCTTTGGCTTTGGACTCGTTTTCTGCTGCATCCCACGTGATGCTGCTGCGCCTCTGTTTGGATTTATTTATCCTCGGACTTTCTTGGGGCCTTCTTTTTCTTTCCCTTTTTTTTGTTTTTCTGTTCCCGTTCCTGGCACCGCGAATCAAGGCCAGATTTCCCAAACTGCTCTTCCCCCCTCGTTCAGCACCGAGCTGTGCTGCAGCCAGGGAGGAAAGGTTGGAAGTGGTGAGGAATTCCCAAGGGATGCTCTCCCCCTCCCTGGGCTTGTCCCTCACCTTTCCTTTGTTTTCCTTTTTTTTTTTTTGGCATCTCCCTGTCCCCAAAACCTGCAGGACTCCTTTAGGGTGCTGGTGCTCCATCCCATAAAGCTTCACTTGGAGTTTTGAGAACTCCTGTGGGGGAATGGGGGCTTTGCTGTCCACCAAAGCACAGCTCAAGCCATGGCTGCAGCACCTGGGCTTTCTGCAGACCCCTTCTGCAGACCCCTTCTGCAGACCCCTTCTGCAGACCCCTTCTGCAGACCCCTTCTGCCTGGAGCATTTCTCTCTCCCCTCGGATTTTTAGGGCTCGTGCATCAAATGGTGGCCCCTAAAAGCCTCTGAAAGCTGAACAGAGGGAAGTGCCCAGGTGGGATGGGATGATAACAGGTGGGACAGAATGTTTGTATGTCAGAGTGGGGGCTCCCTGTCTGCCCTGGCTCCGTTATTGGGGTTCACGTGTGGGTTTTTATCGAGGTGCTCGTTCTCACCCCGGGCTCTCCCGCTCCTCGCAGCCCTGACTTTGCTCTTCCCTTCAAACCATCCACACATGTCGGCAGGGAAAATATGTTCCAGCTCAGCTCGGGGCTCTCATGCCTCGTTTGCAGCAGCTTTCATTGAAACAAGGGCTCTGAAGTGGTGAAATAATTTCAGGAAATGGGACTCCAGTTTCTGGGTCACTCAGGCATTTCCGAGGTAAAATACTGCGCTCTCCGAGGCCGCCGCGGCTCTCGTGTAATTACCCGGGCCGGGTGAGGAGCAGTGGCTCTCCGAGGCCTTCCCTTCCTCCCGTAAAGCTGAATTATTTCCCTGCGCTGCCGTAGATCTCGGCAGCGCCGAGATGGATCGCCCCGGAGCCGAGGCCACCCCGGATCCGGGAAATCGCTGCTCGGGGAGGAAAGATTTTCCTGCAGCAATTTGGGCTTCGGGCTGTGCTTTGTGCCGGGGTCAGGCACGGGTCGTGCCCTGGGGACAGGTGGAGCTCCGGGTCTAACAGGGCTGGGAGCTCTGGAGGCAGCTCTGGGCTCCTGGAGGCTGCTCAGAGCTCTGGAGGTGGCTCAGATCTTTGGAGGCTGCCACGAGCTCCTGGATGTGGCTCGGAGCTCCTGGAGGTGGCTTGGAGCTCCTGGAGGCGGCTCGGAGCTCCTGGAGGCCACTAGGAGCTCCTGGATGTGGCTCGGAGCTCCTGGAGGTGGCTTGGAGCTCCTGGAGGTCACTCAGAGCTCCTGGAGGCTGCTCCAGGCTCCTGGGGCCCGCTCAGAGCTCCTGGAGGTGGCTCAGATCTTTGGAGGCTGCCACGAGCTCCTCGATGTGGCTCGGAGTTCCTGGAGGTGGCTCGGAGCTCCCAGAGGCGGCTCCTGGGGCCCGCTCGGAGCTCAGACCCCTTCTGCAGACCCCTTCTGCAGACCCCTTCTGCAGACCCCTTCTGCAGACCCCTTCTGCAGACCCCTTCTGCAGACCCCTTCTGCAGACCCCTTCTGCAGACCCCTTCTGCAGACCCCTTCTGCAGACCCCTTCTGCAGACCCCTTCTGCAGACCCCTTCTGCAGACCCCTTCTGCAGACCCCTTCTGCAGACCCCTTCTGCAGACCCCTTCTGCAGACCCCTTCTGCAGACCCCTTCTGCAGACCCCTTCTGCAGACCCCTTCTGCAGACCCCTTCTGCAGACCCCTTCTGCAGACCCCTTCTGCCTGGAGCATTTCTCTCTCCCCTCGGATTTTTAGGGCTCGTGCATCAAATGGTGGCCCCTAAAAGCCTCTGAAAGCTGAACAGAGGGAAGTGCCCAGGTGGGATGGGATGATAACAGGTGGGACAGAATGTTTGTATGTCAGAGTGGGGGCTCCCTGTCTGCCCTGGCTCCGTTATTGGGGTTCACGTGTGGGTTTTTATCGAGGTGCTCGTTCTCACCCCGGGCTCTCCCGCTCCTCGCAGCCCTGACTTTGC